TCTCTATAATGGCTAATGATTGTGAACATTTCTTCATTATGTGTTGGCTACCTGAATATCTTCTCTGGTGAAATATCTTTTCATATCTTCTGCCCATTTTTAAATTGGATTGTTTGTCTTTTTGTTGTTGAGGTCTTAGAGTTTTCTATAAATTTCACAGAGAAGTTCTTTGTCCAATATGTCATTGCTGAATGTCATTTCCCAATCTGTAGGTTCTCTTTTTACTCTTTCAGAGAAGTCTTTGGAAGTGCATAAAAATTTAATTTTCAGAAGGTCCCAATCATCTAGTTTATCTTCTGCTGTTTGTGTATCCTAGGTTATACTCAATAAGTCTTTAATCCATCTGGAATTAGTTTTTGTGTATGATGTGAGGTGCGGATCTTGTTTCATTTTTCTGCAAATGAATATCCAATTTTGCTAGCACCATTTGTGAAAGAGACTATCTTGTCCCCATTTAATGGATTTCAGCCCTTTGTCAAGATGAGCTGACCATAGGTCGATGGATCTATTTCTGGGTTCTCAGTTCTGTTCCACTGATCCATGTACCTGTCATTGTACCAATACCAGGCTGTTCTGACAACAGTGGCTGTATAGTAACTTTGGAGATTTGGGAGTGTGAAGCCTCCTACTAGTGCTTTGCTTATCCGAGGTCTCTTTCCTTTCCATATAAAATGAATGATTGGTTTTTCCATGTCCTTGAAGAATGATGTAATCTGGATTGGGATTGTGTTGAATGTATAGATTGCTTTGGGTCATATGGACGTTTTCACAGTGTTCAATCTTCCTGACCATGAGCATCGTATATTCTTCCATTTATGTAGATCTCTTATAGTTTCTTGAAGTAGTGTTTTGTAGCTTTCTTTGTATAGATCTTTTATAGATTTATTCCCAGGTATCTTATCTTTTTGGTAGCTATTGTAAGTGGTATTGACTTCCTTTTCAGAGATCTCTTTGCTGATGTAGAGAAATCTAGCTGGTTTTTGTATGTTGATCTTGTATCCTGCCACTATTCTAAATCTTTTAGTAAGCTCCAATAGTTTTCTTGCTGAGTCTCTTGGGTTTTCTATGTAAGGACAATATCATCTGCAAATATCATCTACCATACCAGTTTGGATGCCTTTGATTTCCCTTTCTTGCCTTATTGCCCTGGCTAGGACTTCCAATACACTGTTGAATAGAAGTGGTGATAGAGGGCATCCTTACCTGGTTCCTGTTCCAAGGGAAATGGTTCCATTGAGAATAATGTTGGCTGTTGGTTTCGCGTGTGTGACCTTTATTATGTTGAGAAATTTCCCTTCTATTCCTATTTTTCTGAGAGTTTTTATCAAGAATGGGTGTTGGATTTTAACAAATGCCTTTTCTGCATCTGTTGACATGATCATGTGATTCTTTTCCTTTGTTTTAGTTATGTGATGTATTTCATTGATTGTTTTTCTAATGTTCAACTATCCTTGCATACCTGGTATGAATCTCATTTAGTCATGATGGTTTTTTTTTGGGGGGGGAGTATGTTGTTGGTGTCTGTTGGCTATGATTTTGTGGAAGACCTTTGAATCTATATTCATGAGGGATATTGGTTTGTAGTTTTCATTTCTAATGGTCTCCTTGCCTAGTTTTGGTATCGGGGTTATGCTTGCTTCATAAAATGAATTTGGGAGGATTCCATCATTTTCTGTGTTCTGAAATAGTGTGAATAGGATTGGTGTCAGCCCTTCTCTGAATGATTGGTGGAATTCTCCAGTGAAATTCTAGGCCAGAACTTTTTTTTTTGTCGGTAATTTTTTTATGACCTGTTGAATTTCTTCTTTTGTTATGGGTCTGTTCGAGTTTTCTACCTCAGTCTGTTAGTTTTTAGGTAAATAGTGTGTTTGATACTGCCTTGGAAATCCAAGGAGGGGTTGCTATGAGTTGGGGCCGACTCGACGGCACGTAACAACATAAAAACAACAGTGTGTTTGTAGAAATCTGTGCATTTCTTGTAGAGTTTCAAATTTGTTGGGAGTACAGTTCTTCACAGCATCCTGATATTACTCTCTTTATTTCTGTTGATTATTTTGTGACGTCCCCCTTTTATTTCTTATTTGTGTTATTTACATCTTCTTCTTTTCCTTTATTATGTTTGCCAGTGGTTTGTCAATTTTATTAATCTTTTCAATGAACCAACTTCTAGTGCTGATTTTTTTTCTATTGTCTTTCTATTTTCTGTTTCATTTATTTCTGCTCGAATCTTTATTATTTCTTTTCTTGTGACTGTAGGCTTTTTTTGCTGCTCTTTTTCTAATCATTGGAGATGTTGGGTTAAGGTGTTGAGTTTTGTTCTTTTTTCTTTTTTTGATGTGTGCATTTATTGCTATAAATTGCCCTCTGATCACTGCTTTTGCTGTGATTACCCAGTCATTTTTGAGGAGGGTGATATTCAGTTTTTCATGTGTTTGCTCTTCTGCTTAACCACTGATGTAGGTCCATTTATTTATATTAGTTGCACAGCTTTGGGAGTCTCTCGCCAAATAAGGCATCAAATCCAGGTGGAATGCGCACCTGGCATTTTGATTCTCATGAGAGTTTTTCTTCCTATCTAGAGCCTCAGGCAGAGTTAAACTTTCTTACTAGGCAGTGGATGCAATTTTGTATCCCTCGATTCATAGGATGTGTTCTTTAAGGATCCTGTCTTTGTCTTCTGCCGCCTTCCACCTCCCATAGGCTTTAAAACCTAAGATTCTAGCCATTAAAACCAAGTTCCAGGTCCCATGTATGCTCATCTCACCCAGCTTGTGCACCTAAGTGTATACATTTTCCAGTCTTTATGTTTTTTTCTTCCTTTCTGGAATTTGCTTTTTTGTGAGCCTAGCAAAAGTTTAAACTTTTTTTGGTTATTGGTTATATTTCATCCAACCTTCAGGTATTTAGAATTGAAAGTTCAGTATTAGCTCAGTCTACCATGTTGCTAGAACCAGAAATCTCTATCTAGCAGCTTATACAGTATTTCTTAAGGAGCCCTAGTGGCACAACAGTTAGGTACTTGACTCCGGACCAAGTGGGGATTCGAACCCACACAGCCACTCAGCAAGAAAAAGACCTCTTAATCTACTCCCATAAGTATTACAGCCTGCTGCCCCTCTGGGGCAGTTCTTCTTTGTCCCATACGGTTACTTTGAGTTGCAGATTGACTCAACAGTACCTAACAATACAGTATTTCTTATGCACACTAACATTTGAGACCACTGAGCTCAAAGGAAAAAAGAAAACAAGATATAATCTCTGTATGTATCCTTCTGACTTATCCTAACCAAGACTGGGGGGAATGGGTAGAGATTTTTGTTGCTCTTTTTTTTTTTTTACTACTTCCTTGTTGGGCTTATTTCATTCTGTTTCAGTATTATAACCCTGTAACTTTAAAAGTATTAGTTGTTGTTGTTATGTGCCACAGTGTCAGACCTGACTCATAGTGACCTCTCCTTGGGTTTCTGAGGCAGTATCACTACAGAAGTAGATTGCTCAACCTTCCTTCTGAGGAGTGGCTGGTGGGTTTGAACTGCCAGCCTTCTGGTTAGCAGTCAAGTGCCTTAGGCACTATACTACCAGAGCTCCCAAAAGTTAGTAGATTTGTTTATTTGGAAGTTAAAGGAAATATTAGATGTGAGAAGAATTTAGCACAGCAACTGGCTTAATAAATAATTGGCAGATTTGAGTATAAGAACCACATACACACTGTCCTTTGAAAAGTTAGTAGAGAAGCTCTTGAGCTAACTAATTCATGTTTCTCCAAGTTAGCTTTCCTGTTGTGGCCCTACTGAGTCATTACACTCAGAGCCTTGAAACAGTCTTACATCTGTGACTGGAATTTTAATACTAGAATTGTTGACTGCTTAGAGATCTGCTTCCTGAGATGTAGCCCCCACCCCACCCCTCCCCAAAAAACATTACTATGTCAGGGGCATTGCTCCTCCCTTTATGTCTTGATCTCATGGTGGAATTGATGGCTGACTGTTCATTTGTTCAGTGGAAAACATGAACTTAGTGCTTGATGATCTTAATGCAAAAAATATTTTCATCTGTTTATGAAATCCATTAATGAAATTGTCTGATGCCCATCCTGACTATAAGTACTGCTTCAGTCATTTAGAAAATTCACTTCTAGATTGTGATTATCTATATCCAGCAAAAACCACATCCTGTGAGTTTAATAAGTTGAGAGGAAAGTATTCTTTTTTTTTTTTTCCCTATGAGTATTAAAAGTTCTAGTCAGTCCTTCTTGGGTTGACTAATTGGGTCAGCATAATTTCTGGGATTCCTGAAAGCATTAGCCCTCTAGCACAATTTTATTTTCCCTTTTTATTGCCACCTTTGATCCTTTTACATTGTTGTTGGGTGCTGTTGAGTCAGTTTTCAACTCAGTGACCCAATGTGATGGAGTAGAACTGCCCCGTAGGGTTTTCTAGGCTATAATCTTTATGGGAGCAGATCACCAGGTAATTCTCCTATAGAGCCATTGGGTAACCTTTCAATTAGCAGCCCTATGTTTATACATTATTATTAAAGTATCCTCCATCTTTAGTTTCAATGTATCACTATAAAGTTTTAAATTGATCTTATAATTCAACAGTGTACTCTGAGACTAAACAATACAGCGCACTGCTGTCAGGTCGGATCTGACTCCTGGCAACCCCTCCTTGGGTTTCCAAGGAGGTATCACTATGGAAATAGATTGCCCAGCCTTCCTACCAAGAAGTGGCTGGTAGGTTTGAACCACCAGGCTTCTGGTTAGTAGTCAAATGCCTTAAATGCCTTAGGCACTATGCCACCAGAGCTCCTACTCTGCGACTGGTTCATAGTTATTTCTAAGAATTTTACTAAATCCTTGATTTTTGTTTTTCTAGCAACTGAAATTAACTTTGGACTTTTTTATGCATTCATTAACAAAAATATAGCATCTGTTTTTCAAACTCACTGTGTGAGGAATTTCTTATGTTACTTGGTAATATCAGATTTCCATTTTTCAGGTGGAAGATGAGCTCAGTTCCCCAGTAGTGGTATTCAGATTTTTCCAGGAATTACCAGGCTTAGGTAAGTGACTTTAAAAAGATAATTCTTTGTGTGTTTTGTTTAAAGGCTTTGAATGTGAAGACATCTCAAGTTACATAGTCCAGAATATTTTTATTATTACCAAAATCTTCAGTCATCATTTGAGAAAAATTGAACAATTTTCATAAGTGCCTCAGACTAAATACCTTAGTATTTTACTGATGCTTTCGTATGATTAAGCCAGTGGTTCACATATGCCAGTTTCTGGACTGGTGCTGGAATAACTCAGAGTCACTTGAAATTGTCAATTCTTGGGCCCATATTTTGTTATTCAATAGGTCAGAGCCAGGAATCTTTTTTAAAGACTGTTTCAAATGCTGTCAACCTAATTGAAGCCACCATTATTTTCCCCAACCTGACCACAGTCACCTCTCAACTGATCTCTTGGTTCCAAATGTTCCACACACCCTCATCCCAGCCATTCTCCACATGGTAGTCAGAATGAAATGAACGTGTTCAAGTAGAAGCCAAATGATTTCCCTTCCCTGCTTAGAATGCTTGAGTATCTATTATTTTTGCTCTTTACCATACCCTAGTGCTAGTCCTTGCCTTCCTTTTTGGCATCATCTTTTGCCATTCTCCCTCTTGGCCATTGTGTTTTTGTCAGACTGATCATCTCTGAGTTCCTGCTCTAAGTGCAAGGCTTTTTGTTATTTGCCTCAAACGTATTTCCCTAGCTCTCCTTATATCTGGTTCCTTCTTACCTTTTAGGTCTCAACTAAATGTCCATCTGCCTTCCTATCTGTCATGTCTAAAGTATCAGAACACCTACTTTCTTTTATGGCACTAAGAACAATATAGAGTGATTTTATTTCTTCTTTTACTGTCTCTTTCCTCAACTAAAATGTAAACTCCAAGATGACTAAAACCTTGTCTGCCTTACAGTCTGTCCCAAGGACCTAGCACAGTGTCTGGCATGAGTTGGCATTTGAGCCATTCAAAGAGTGAAGGAATAAATCTGTTGTGAAACTCTATTTGCATATCTATTGAGTATTCTGATCTATCTGGCATCATGCCTGGTAGATTAGTTGTTAACTTATAAATTTATACTTTGATTTTCTCTTGAAATACATTGAAAGAGAAAACTTTTTTAGATGAAATTAGGAATTCTGTTTGTGTGAGTGTATTCGAGTATTATATTTTTCATGAGAAAAAAAAAAACATTAAGCCCTGTCAGGTATATTTTTTTCATTAATGTTTGAGAATATTCTCTTAGGTTAATACTGGGATTTAAGTGAAATGGTATTGGAGGAGTATTTGTTTTGGTGAGCTGTGTTTCTAGGAGTGATCCCCTTTTTGTGTTCTGGGGTCAGATCCAGGGCCTAAAGCTGTACCAGTGCCCAATGTGGCTCCTTCAACAGTCGGCCAGGAGAGGCACTCCTGTGATGCACTGAATCGCTGGGTAAGGATGGCAGTTGTCTGCCTTTTTTTTTACATTCAGAATATTGTCACTTGACCATCAGAACCATGGTTTTGGATAAAGCATGTGTGGGAAATCAGGAAATGCCTATCTGTGAAGGTGATAAGTTCTGGGATTCCCTTTTTACATAACTACCTCACACCCTGTGTGACTTCTGGCAAGTCCTTTCAGTTTAGTTACCTCAGTGTGCATATGTGACCGATTCCTTGCTGTTGTGTAAGGCTATAAAACAATATGCAAAATGGTTACCACAATGCAGTGCTTTGGAGCTCTGGTGAGCGTTCTGTAGCAGTATCAGAAGGCACATAAGCCACAGTCCCCTGACCATCTTTGGCAGCCTGCAGTGTGGATCTGAGGCATCATGTGTCAGCAGCCTCTAGAACTGTACCTGGAGGATTTTGGTCTAAAGAATTAATCATCGGTGTTGTAAACAACATTACAATAACAGTATTAATCTTAGCAAAACTTTAGATATACCCAACCCATGGGATGTGGTGAATAAGTTAGGGTACCTCAATACATTGGAGTTCAAAACAGTTGCTAAAGACATGTAGCAGAATATTTAAGGCAAAAGAGAATGATCATCATAAATTCATGTGAAAATAAGGTAAGTAGACAGTGAGTGCTGTTGCTGTTGTTACGTGCCGTCGAGTCAGACCCGACTCATAGGGACCCCTCCTTGGGTTTCCGAGGCAGTATCACTATGGAAGTAGATTGCCCAACCTTCCTTCCGAGGAGTGGCTGGTGGGTTTGAACCACCAGACTTCTGATTAGCAGTCAAGTGCCTTAGGCACTATGCTATCAGAGCTCCCAGACAGTGAGTGGGTAGAATCTCCCAATTTTTAACCATGAAATACACACACACACACACACACACACACCCCACATACACTACCCCCCCCCACACACACACACACCTACTACCACCATAGAGAAAAGACCCAGAACGCAGTGTACCAAAATGTCAACAGTGGGTATTTCTGAGTGGTGCAATATGGATAATTTTTAATTTGTTATTTTAGTTTACCTGTATATCCTAGAACTTTTTTTTTTTAAGTGAGAAAAAATATATAAAATTTACTGTTTTAAAATACAAACTGCCTAAGTAGTCAAAGACAATCAAAAGATGAAAGGAAATGTGCCCTCCCTGAGCCTCTTTGGTCTGGTGCTGACTGGATGAGGGCAGAATCCCTCCCTTGGTGCTGGAGCATGTTCACCCGCCCTTTTTTCTGCAGCTAGGAGAACAGCTGAAGCAGCTGGTGCCCACAAGTGGCCTCACTGTCATGGACCTGGAAGCAGAGGGAATGTGTGTGCGGTTCAGCCCTCTGATGACAGCAGCAGGTAACTGTCTCAGTGAATTTCATTCCTTTGGGGCACTTCTGTTTTGGTGAGAGCAATTACAAGACTATTAAAGACCAGACTGTTGGGATTGATGAACTTCCCCTTATGGTATTTTGCTCTCCTATTGTGAGGGGCAGGTACCTAATAAGCAGGTAAGCACGGGCTTACTTGTGTTTACTTACCAATCTATAGTGAACAATTTTACATGTTTTTACCACATCAAAGATTATGCTTCTATGGTTGGCATCTGTCTCAATCAACCCCACAGCACCTTGCTATAGAATCAAAGCCTCTTTTCAAGTTTACAATCCCTTACAGGGATAGAGAACCCTGTAAGCAAGGTAAACGGCTGTAGTGAAGAGTTTCACATGTGTTTCACCACATGTGATCATCAAAGATGTGGTGAAACCTATTTGACATTGTCCACTACAGATTAGTAAATAAGTACAAGTCCTTACCTTGCTTATTGGGTAATCTTCCCCGGCCTCTTTTTTAGAGGAGCTTTTTCTTTTCTTTTGTGCGGAATACAGATTTACCTTCTAGTGTAACTTCTTAGAAACAGAATCAGACTTCTGAAGTCAGTTAAATTCCTATGTTTTGATAGCTTATGACCCTTAGTTTTCTCTCAGTGATTCTCAGTCCTGATGGCACATTAGAAACACTTCGAAACCAAAAACCAAATGCACTGCCATCGAGTCAGATCCGACTCATAACAACCCCTCCTTGGGTTTCCGAGGTGGTGTCACTACGGAAGTAGATTGCCCAACCTTCTTTCCGAGGAGTGGCTGGTGGGTTTGAACTGCCAGCCTTCTGGTTAGCAGTCAAGTGCATTAGGCATTACGCCACCAGAACTCCTCTAGAAACACTTAAGGGGCTTTATAACTACCTTTGGCTGGGCTCCACCTAGAGATCCAGATGTAACTGATTTGGCTTGTAGCCTGGGCATCTGTATTTTTAAATGCCTCCTCAGTGATTCTAACAGGTCAGTGAAGGTTAAGAAACCACTGTTTGAGACATTTAAGAAGGCAATGTAGCTTTTACATGGACTTTTATTACTGAAGATCCTGGGTACATGTTTACACTCAGTCACTTTATAATCATGGGACCTTGAGCAAGTTTCTTCATCTCCATACTTGTTCCACTCTTAAAAAATGTACATTACTAATACTTCATGGTCATGATGTGAAAGTGAAATAAGATCATGTATGTGTAATGCTGAGTACATACTAAGCACTTAAATATAAGCAGAAAAAAAGAAAAGGTAAAAATTCAGTTGTGCTTTTTTATAAGATGATTTAAACATTTTCGGAAAATTTTAGGTGGTTTCAACATTTTTGGAAAAAAATCTGCTCCTGCTGTGCGGTGTGGCCTTACCTTCCCTGCCTCACTGCAAAGGCCTCATCTCTCAAAAGAGGCTGAGGAACACCCTGTGGCAACATATATGGAGGTAGCCTAGTGCCACAGAAGAAACTCTGAAACTTGCCCTTGAGCGGAGAGTAGCTAAAGCAAATGGAAGAAATGACAAGATTAAAGAGCTGAATCGAAGATTTCAGAGCAGCTCGAGAAGACAAAGCCAATTACTATAATGAAATGTGCAAAGACTTGGAGTTAGAAAACCAAAAGGGAAGAACACACTTGGCATTTCTCAAGCTGAAAGAACTGAGGGAAAAATTTAAGCCTCGAGTTGCAATAATGAAAGATTCTATGGGCAAAATATTGAATGATGCAGTTTGAAACATCAAAAGAAGATGGAAAGAATACACAGAGTCACTGTACCAAAAAGAACTGGTCGATCTTCATCCATTTCATGAGGTGGCATATGATCTAGAACCAATGGTACTGAAGGAGGAAGTCAAAGCTGCAATGAAGGAATTGGCGAAGAACAAGGCTCCAGGAATTGATGGAATACCCACCGAGATATTTCAATAAACAGATGCCCCACTGGAGGCACTCACTCGATTATGCCAAGAAATTTGGAAAACAGCTACCTGGCTAGCTGACTGGAAGAGATCCATATTTGTACCCATTCCAAAAAAGGTGATCCCACAGAATGTGGAAATTATCGAACAATATTATTAATTTCGCACACAAGTAAGATCTTACTGAAGATAATTCAAAAACGTTTGCAGAAGTATATTGACAGAGAACTTCCAGAGGTTCAAGCTGGATTCAGAAGAGGATGTGGAACAAGGGATATCATAGCTGTTGTCAGATGGATCTTGGCTCAAGGCAAAGAATACCAGAAAGATGTCTACTTGTGTTTTATTGACTATGCAAAGGCATTTGATTGTGTGGATCATGACAAATTATGGATAACATTGAGAAGAATGGGAATTCCTGCACACTTGATTGTACTCATGAAGAACCTGTACATTGACCAGGAGGCTGTCATTCAAACAGAACCAGGGGACACTGCATGGTTTAAAATCAAGAAGGGAGTGCGTCAGGGATGTATCCTTTCCCCGTACTTATTCAGTCTATATGCTGAGCAAATAATCTGAGAAGTTGGACTATATGAAGAAAAACATGGCTTCAGGATTGGAGGAAGAATCATTACCAATCTGTGATATGCTGATGACACAACTTTGCTGAAAATGAGGATGACCTGAGGCACTTACTGATGAAGATTGAAGAGTACAGTCTGCAGTATGGATTACATCTTTAATATAAAGAAAACAAAAATCCTCACAACTGGACCAATAAGCAGCATCACAAAAAATGGAGAATAGATCAAGGTTATCAAAGAATTCACATTGCTTGGTTCTACAGTCGACACCAATGGAAGCAGCAGTCAGGACATCAGATGATGCATAGCACTGAGCAAGCCGGCTATAAAGGACCTCTTTCAAGTGCCAAGGAGCAAGGATGTCTCCTTGAGGACTAAGGTGCACCTGACATATAAGCAGTGATATTTTCAGTCACCTCATGTGCATGTGAGAGCTGGACAATGAATAAATGGAAGACTGAAGAAGACGTGATGCTTTTGAGTTGTGGTGCTGGTGAAAAATACTGAACATACCATGGACTGCTAAAAGAACTAACATCTGTCCTGGAGGAAGTGCAGCTGAAATGCTCCTTGGAAGCAAGAATGGCGAGACTTCGTCTCACCTACTTTGGTCATGTTGTCAGAAGGGACCATTCCTTGAAGAAGGATATCATGCTTGGTAAGGTGGAGGATCGACGAAAGAGGGGAAGGCCTTCAACAAGATGGGTTGACACGGTGGCTGTGACGATGGGCCCACGTATAGCAAGGATCATGGAGCTGCTGCGGGATTGGGCGGTGTTTTGTTCTGCTGTGCATAGGGTTGCTATAAGTCAGAAATGACTCGACAGCACCTAACAGCCTAAAGCACTTAACTGCTAACCAGAAGGCTGGTGGTTCAAACCCACCAGCCACTCCTCAAAAGGACAGTTGGGCAATCTACTTCTGTAGTGATACTGCCTCGGAAACCCAAGGAGGGGTCGCTATGAGTTGGGTCCGACACGATGGCGCATAACAACAGCAACAATAAAATCATATATAGTGTTTGAATTGAAGGAAGCAAGAGAGTAGCCATGTTGCCAGGCCTGTTCTGTCCCAAAAGCCTTGAGACTTCCTCAGCTCCGACCTGCAGAAATAGATACTTGGGACTCATTATCCTGCCCCTCCTGCCACAAACCCACCAAAGTACTTCTCTTTCTTTCAGTCATATGAATATCAAGAGAGAATCATTGTGGTTGCCTTTTTGTGTTTGGCCTGTGACATGTTTATAACCTGACTGTAGCAGATTCATAAATGAGATTGTTTCACTATGTATTAAATAAGAGGGGCGGATCCTGTCTTCTGTGTAAGAAAATACTGTCTTAATACCTGGAGCAGCCTGCTGTGTTAATTTTTAACATCTAATTCTTATGTGTCTGGGTTGAGCAGTTTTGTTTTTTTAAGCTTTTCAGCTGCAGCTAATTGGATGCCCTTAGAGCTTTTGCCCTGATAGCAGAAGTGAGAACCTTGGCCATTCTCATTTGCCATTTGTTTCCTTAAGCATTTCTCATAACATTTGTGAACACTTTCAGTTTTAGGAACTCGAAGCGAGGATGTGGATCAGCTTGTAGCCTGCATAAAAAGCAAGCTGCCAGTCCTGACCTATACACTACAGCTGAGAGAAGAGTTCAAGCAGGAAGTGGAAGGAACAGCAGGCCTCTTATATGTGGATGACCCTAACTGGCCTGGAATTGGGGTTGTCAGGTAAAGTTTCCATTTGCCACAGGATTATAATTTCCCTTTGCTTTGTACAGAATATAGATGAATCATTTTGTAAATAAGCTTAGAAATCCAGTATGGTCATGTGGAGTCACAGTATATATGTCTAATGAAAATGCATCTAGATTTCCTGGGCATTTATAAAAGCACAGTGCAGCAAGTGAGTTGGCCCACCATTGTACTCAGCATATGGCTCCTTGAGGTAGGAGGCACTGTATGTCATGTCCTTTTGTACCAACTCTTAAGTTACTAAGAGGAGATGTAACTGACAAATCAGTAAGAAAAAGAACTCAGTTTCCTGACAAGAGAAAACTCCCTGTCTTCTCTAGTTTTCTGTAAAGTCCATCCATGGCTGCTTCCCATTTCCTTCAAGGAAGAGACAAGGCTCCTTTACCTTTAATGTTGCAAATGATGAGACTTCCAGACCTTACTTCTTTCTGAATTTTATGGGCCTAAATAAAGACTTAGGCTTTCCTTGCGATATTCTTGAATATGTTAGATCTTGAGACACCATCGGTGGCTTCATTGCCCATTTGTCTTGTTTCCCATTCTTCTTTTCCACCTATTGTATGTCTGAAGAGACATTAGATCTTTGTAGATTGAGATACTGTTGTTTGATATTTTCCATAGGTATGAACATGCTAATGATGATAAAAGCAGTTTGAAGTCAGATCCTGAAGGAGAAAAAATCCATGCTGGACTCCTGAAAAAGTTAAATGAACTGGAATCTGATCTTACATTTAAAATGGGTAACTACTACTTTTATAAGTCAGCAGTGACTTTTGGAAGGACATTTTCTCATCAGCTTAAATGGGTTTTCTCTCTTTGGAGAAAACTCTTTTCATTCTGGGTAGAGGTGGAGTTCTTCCTAGAGTTAGACATCTCCCATCCCTATCTGTAGCCTCTCAGAGGTTTCCTCTCTTCTTATGAGAACCATTTTTCTCTGCACTGTCATATTGTTGTGCAGGAAAATGGGCCTGTGCCTGTCGCATGACAGAGGATTTGGGAACTGAGTCTGTTGTTTCTTCTTTGCAGGCCCCGAGTATAGAAGTATGAAGAGCTGTATTTACATTGGCATGGCGAGTGACGATGTAGATGTTTCTGAACTAGTGGAGACCATTGCAGTCATAGCCAGAGAAATTGAGGAAAACTCAAGGGTCTGTAAGACTCATCAATGTTTCATTCCTTTTCTGAGCTTTCCCAGCCTAGCTGGGTCATGAAGGAAGAAGCTGCCCTTGGAGACATCTGTTCATTCATTCTTTGCCCCCCAAATTTCACATTCTTCTTGTGAGCTAGGCATTGTGCCAGACATTAGGAGCAGAAGGTAGATTTGACACAGTCTTTGCCTTCAATAAACTCACAAGCTAGTGGGGGGAAGGATACATGTTACCAAGCAATACCATAAATGCTGTCAAAGAGAAGTTAGGGGTAGCTGAGTTTTAAAGGAAGACATAGTCAGCCCTGCCTGACGAGGTCAGGGAAGACTTCCTGATTGGAGCTGGAGCCAGAAAGATGAGACAGGCATTTCAAGTAATGTAGCTTCTCAGCAATAAAAGACCTGCTTCTGTCAGCCAGTCAGCATGGACAGCAAGGCCCGAAGACTTAGAGCATATTCTTCAAATCAGACATTTGATTCAATAGAAATCACTCAGATGAGAAAAGTACCACAGCAAGACTAGTGTAAGAGTCAGAAACAGGTCATTATATTAATTTTTGGTAGAGCTGGGGAAGAGGAGAAAGCTTAAAATGTGGCAGAATGAGCCAGGTTTATTCATTCTTGGGCTGACTTCTTCAAGTTCCTTTCAGACCCAACTCTATTCTGGCTTCATTTCCATGAGTGCTGAGCAGGTAAAAATAGCTATTTTCTATTGATAGGGTGTTCAGATCATAAGTATAATTATTCTTCTCCTCTCTGTTCCCTAACGAATGAGGCTGGTCATCGAAGTATGCCTACCCAGGCCTCCTCGAGCATTTCAAAAATGGACAATATAATTTACTGACATGCTTTTGAGAAAGGTCCCCAGTGCTGTATTAATAGTTCTAGACTCCAGGCAAGAAATTTAGATGATTAATGTCTGTCTTGATTTTCACACAGCTTCTGGAAAACATGACTGAAGTTGTTCGGAAAGGAATTCAGGAAGCTCAAGTTCAACTGCAGAAGGCAAATGAGGAACGACTTCTGGAAGAGGTGAGTCTACAGACTGGACTTCCGAACTAGCATTAGCTGGAAGCATCTCAACAAGGTGGCCTTGAACAATGGTTATGTTTTACAGGGAGTGTTGCGGCAGATCCCCGTAGTAGGATCCGTGTTGAATTGGTTTTCTCCATTGCAAGCTTCACAAAAAGGAAGAACTTTTAACTTAACAGCAGGTAACTAGACTGGCCCAGATCTCATTTAACAGTGAATTTTGACCAAATGTCCCCAAACTCCTAATGCCAAGAAGCCTTTTACAGTTTCATTCCTTATCACTGTGCCAGGAACTTAGGGAAACAAGATGTGTTTGCTCCCTTCTCTCACCCTGACTGCTGAAATGGTACAAAAGCAGACACGCATTCCCTACAATGGGAAGGAAGGCTGGGCGATCTACTTCCATAGTGGTACCGCCTCAGAAACCCAAGGAGGGGTTGCTGTGAGTCAGGTCTGACTTGACGGCACATAACAACAATATTCCCTACAGCAAGGAGACTTATCTTACTTGAATCCACAAGCAATACATTCATTTAGCTGTTCACATCCTCAAGACAGTGTGTCTTAGGTGTTTTGGTTCGGGGTTTTGCCTCAAAGGGCTGCTTTTAAGATTGCATGAGCACTGGGATGTTTTATTTCACACCCGGCAACCTGCAAGTAATATTAACAGTTGCTGGAATTCAGAGATATTAAACTGCATGATTCCTCCTTTCTTTGGTGTTCTACCAAGGAAATAATTTCCTAAACTTGAAGTTCCTTCCCCAGGAAACAATGACTACACTGTCATAGGAGAGAGAAAAAGTTTCTGATTTTCGATTGGCCAGACCTTCAGCAAAGAGGCATCCATGTCTTCTTGCTAAAGTACAGTTCCCAGTTAGGCCTCGCTCCCCAGGCATGCTGTGCCACACTCCTGGGTGCGTGTCTCCAGGTGTACTCACGTCCTTGGGGGTGGAAGGATAGAGCAGCTGAGCAGGGCGAGAATTCCCAAGCATAGCTGAGATGGCCGTCTCTGCTACCTGGCACATGGCACATCTTAGGAACTGAGTGGCTGGAAGAAGTTTATCAGGTAACAAGGTGGAGTGAGGGCACCCTGGGCCAAAAGCTACTGCCTACCCCACTTCTTTCTTTTCCTGGCAGGCTCTCTGGAATCCACAGAACACACATATGTCTCCAAAGTACAAGGTACCGGAGTAACACCGCCCCCGACCCCCTCAGGCACTCGCACTAAACAAAGACTTCCAGGTATATTAATGAACATAGAGGGGAAAAACAATCAGTTGTATTTCTCTTGGGAAATAGATTTTTGCATTATGTAACTATTTTCACCAAGTTTGCTGTCAGTTGCATTCCTTTGTTTTTTTGGTTCTTTAACCCCAAGTCCTATTCCTCTTCATTTTGAACCAACTATCACTGTTTCTTTAAGTAACCATTTCAGTAGCTGAGGGATTTAGCATTGAAGAAACTTCATGTACTCCAAGGGGGAAATTAGGGTCTTGAGAGATTAAATCATGTTTCATGTGGTGGTTACTGTCCTGAACTTTGAGCTTTTCTTGAGGTTACCTCAGAAGTTTTCAGCCTTGGGACGTGAGTGCCACCAATCAGTGCTCATTTCTCATCTCCTGAAAGGCTTCAGAGGACTTTAGGGGTTTCTGCTGTAGCAGTTAGAGTTTAACAAAGCAGTTGCTCACAGCAGAGAGCTTTTGTTGCAGACGTGTTTCTTATGGAGCATTCAGTGCTGTTCATCTTATCTTTCTTCTAGGCCAGAAGCCTTTTCAAAGGTCTCTAAGAGGCTCAGATGCAGTGAGTGAGACAAGCTCAGTCAGTCACATTGAAGACTTGGAAAAGATGGAGCGACTGACAACTGAGCCAGAGCAAGACACCCCAGAGGCTAACAGCCCTGAGCAGCACCTAGGGGCTCCAGGCCCTCAGGAAGTAGGCCAGACTGAGGTCCTCCAGAAGGACCAGGACCGAAAAGATGACTGCCCGCAGGTAGAACAGGAGAGCTTAAGATAAAAGTGTTTTGAGACTGTACTGTTGTTGCAGAGAAGATGAAGTTATATTGAAAATGTGAACTGTGCCACATCCTAATACAGTAGGAATTACTGTTATTTGTGCTTAATGGATTTTTGCACAAACATATGCCTGAAAGCCAGGCTTTCTAAGTGAGCTGTCGGTATGTTTAATTTTGTGTGTATGTAGAACATCCAACAGCTATTGTTTCTGTTCTACCCAGCAGTAGTAATACCCTTTCCCTGCTAAATTACCATACACACTTTTTATTCATAAAAAACACTCAATTTCAAGTGCCTGCCACTTGAAACACTTGCTCTTTTCTGTCTGAACGGAAGTGTAAGTTATTAGGTTGCACTTAGTAACTTTCTGATAAAACAACTTCTTTAGAACCTTGGGGTTCTCTGCTGAAATTCTGCAGAGGAGAGACATTTTTTTGCCACCTGTTTTTTTTTTTGTTTTGTTTTGGTGTTTAGTTGGATCGAGTTGCAGTATACAGCTGGATTGTGTTTGGCTTAATGGAGAATGGGCTTTATAGGATTGTAAATAAAGAGTATCAGAAGCCCTCTCCTGCCATTCTCAGCTGATATTTTTCCTGGAGACTTAGTAAGAGCTGTATCCACTCAGATGGTGGCAGGGTTATCAAGAAGGCTAGACTGGACGACACTTCTTTGAGTGACTTTCCTCTGCCACAGATCTACTTCTCCACTTCTGTACAATTTGTAAACAAATTAAAAGACTCAACTGTAAAAGTCTCTCCTTGACCGTATAGATGTATATGTCTATTTTTAAATACTGGTAAAGCTTTTAAATTGGCACCCAAGTACAGACTGTGCTCATTTCTATGTTTAATAACCAAAAACCTGATAGCTGCTACCCTCAAAAGCCTAATATTAAATACACTGTGTAGCACCTAGGTTAGGTATAAATTCTAAAATAAATGTATCTTTGATCTATCTCAAGTTTATGAAGCTTTTGTAGCTTCTGTTGCATTAGCAGCTCACCCCTTTGGGCCTACTCAGAAACAAGAACCAGAAACATAGTCTTTCTTAGGCTGATCAAGCCAGACTATTAATGAAGTAATTGGAAGCAAGCTCTTAATTACTGCCCATTTCTACTTTTGCAGAAGTACTGCATCACTTTATCATAAATAATGGCCCCTGTGCCTTTTTAGTCCAGTCTAGTTAAGCTAGGGGAGATTTGAAGATGGTGGGGAATTTCACACTGGTGTGTGGATTATAGCATTGGAAGCCTTAGTTAGACCACATTAAGCCTATAATTACACACAGATTTGATGTGATTATTGACATTTGGCACTCATCAAAGAGTAGCTTTTCCTATTGTTTTGGTGCATATGATTAAACAAGTCTTCCTTTTTATTTGGTGCAATGAAGTATAACAGATAAAATGGGGGAGGGTAAATTATCACTTCTAACGATTAATTTTTAAATGTTTTTATATTTGAAATTGTTTAATTGGTTTTGCTGAAACAAAATTCACCCTTGACATACTATTTGATTGTTGGTTTCAATAAAGGTTCTTGAAATTGTTACTCGTGAGTTCAGTTCATAAATCTTTACTATTATTTGGTCGTTGTGACTTCATGAACTTTTCTACGTGTTTCCATCTGACTTCCTTTTAGACAGCAACTTTAGAAAAAGGTTTCTAAAATGTAGTTTACATGATAACCACAATTAAGGCATTTCAGTGACCTTATAGCTAAAAGAACAGATTTATCAGTGGTTTTACATAACTCTCAGAGATGAAATTTACCCTCATAATAGATGATCTACTTCAAGGTATATTGAAAAACGGCAAAGATCAATTCTTTTTCTTTTTCTGACCCTTTCATCTCATTTATCTAGAAATACTTTAGTTGAAACTTCTTCTAATCATCTATTTTGGGGCTAAAAAAAAATCTGTGAGATGTATAAATTCTCACAGAATTTTACTGTTTTAAATACTGTTTTTCTTACAATAATTTTTACTTTGTCCACAAATTTAACTTTTAAGTAGAAATACTTACTGAAGGAAGTATCTAAAACAACTGCTTTACAGAACAGGGAGACAGGTAGCTTCTTTACAACAACTTTTTAATAATGGAAAAAATAATATAAACAAATGCCTTTGCCAAAATAACATTTTATTTTGAAAGTCATTTGAAAGACACTGAGTAAGGAGACATAAGACTCAATGGGTGTAGATTCCAAGTTCAGATTCTTCCAACCCCCACCAGTGATCTCTGTCAGGCCAAAAAGTTGCTTTCTTTGGTAATTCCTGGTTTTAGCTTTGTGGAGAAGAGCTCTTTTCCCATAAGCCATCTTCATTTTTTTTGTAGAGTAGAGCTTTATTTCCAGGAAACAGTGTGTTAGTTGGAGATGGGTATTTTTTTAAAAACATCAATGTAGATCTGATATGTTCAACAAAGTGGGGGGGCTCGGCCAGAGGTGAAGTGGAAAGGTTCTGGAATATAAGATTATGGGCATGAGAGAAGAGCAACTACACTCTATTTCCTTACTTTGATATAGTTGTCAAATAAAGTATCTTTGTGTCCTTTTTAAACATTGAGCAGGATATTCTTGGAATACTATATGGATGCATTATGTACGTATATTAAGTATAAAATTACTTAAGAAATGAGATGCTAGGTTAATGGGGGGAAAAAAAAAACGGTTGCTCACTGCTTCACCTGCAGACTTCTAACCAAGACATTACTTCTTATCCCTAACTGATAAAAAAAAATGGGGTCTGCCAATGGCATCCTAAAAAGAAATATGGTTTGTTAAAGGAAAAGTAGCTATTATCTAGCCTAAATCCTTTTTTTTCTTACAGATGAACAGACCAGGGTCTCAGGAGTTAAGACTTGCCCAACTGTAAATTCTCACCTCTAGTATTTGCTTATCATCTTGCTGCAACCAGAAATCCACATGTGGAAATGGCATCCAGGAGTATGGTCCTATGCGAAGTTGTTCTGTCTTTGCATCATAAATGCTAATCATCTAAAAAGAACATTTCAAGGATAAAATTTAAGAGATGTTTTAACTTCTCAAACCCAACCTTAATGCACACTCCAGTGTTGTGTATTATTTAAGGCATTTATCTGCATAATAGGCTTCTTAATAATCTTGTCTCACATAATAACTAAAGCTGCCACTTAAGTGAACACTTGCAGGTGTCTGGTACGGCACTTTATGGGTAATGCATTATTTTGTTTAGTCCTATGACAGTCCTGCAGGAAGATGACATTTTCCTCATTTTGGTTAAAACCTGAGACGCGGAACGATAAGGCACAGTGCCCAAGGTCCCTTGTCCAGGTAACATGAGAGCTGGGTATCAAACCCTGATGTGTCTGACTAAAGTACATGCCCCTCATTGCTACCTAAAACACTGCCTCATTTATACCTCAGCAAATAATTACCTTGCAACTTATACGTACACATGACTGTTACCCCATCAAAAGGTGGGATAAACCAGTTTATAAAAAACTAATTTGTGAAATGACTAATCAATCGTTTGAATTCCCACATTAGTCAATGGTATTTTCAACCTTACCAGCAATGTTCACTTTTAGTTTTTTGAGACTCAAATACATCCTTTTGAATATTAACTAAATTAAGGTTCTTATGCTACTTGAGAAACTACAAAAAGAATCCTAACAATGTTAAAGGGATGGCAAAACGAATCACTCTGGATTTGTTTTTTCAAGGAAAATGTCACCATTTACTAAATGAGTATTCTTTTAGGTGCATTCTTTCTGAATACAATTTCTATTTTTCACACTTTGAGCATTTTTAGAGAATTCTTTCACCCATTCTCAAAAGACATGTAAGTATCTTAAAAAAAACAATTTCTGATTTCTATTTCTAGCTTTTGAAATTTTTTTTTTTCTTTAAAAAGCACGTTAAGTGTATAGTAGAGCTGACAAGGGACAAGGTGGTAGTCACTTCTTGGTAACAGCCAGCTACCCAGAGGTACCGAGTAGTTAAACCTGTGGGCTCAGGACTGTAGTCACAGGGGACACCAAGTTCAACTGGTATAACATACTACACAAAACATTATTCCACCTCCTACTTTGGCGAGTAGCAACTGGGATCTTAAAAGCTTGCAAGCAGCCACCTAGATGCAATAATGGGTCTCTCCTCGTCCAGAGCAAAGAAAAATGAAGAAAACCAAAGATTCATGGAAACAATTAGTACTAGCAACTGGTACACCATGCGATCCTCAGCCTATACGACTATGAGACCAGAAGAACCAGATGGTGCCCAGCTACCAATGTCAGCCACTCAGAGGGGTATCTATATAGGAAATCCTGGATAGAGAGGGAGAACAGTGTGGAACAAAGCTCAAAATCATTTGGCAGGTGGGGAATGGGACCAGGTTTGCTGGTCCAATAGAGCCTGGTGGAACCAGTGAGACTATATGGTCCTTAGCTGCCTTTCAGGTCTGGAACTGAACCCACACCTGTGGCTTCCAGTCAAACAAAAGGCAGGCATATGAGCTGAACATTTCCCTGAGGTAGATATACTCCTTGCAGAAATCAATCATGGGAGAAGGAAGGGCTGTTTATGCACAGGGAGCAGGAGTGCATGGAGGGATAGACACAGGAAAGAGGTAACTATCAGGAGGAAGTGGGAGGAGAGCTGTTGCATTGGAGTAAATTGTAGTCAATGTCATGAGACAACGTGCATGTGAACTGTATGGAAAGAATTTGCTCTGTAAACTTCCACCCAAATCACAATAAAAAATTAAAAAAAAAAAAAAACCTTAAGGAAATTAGAGTTTTAAATTAATTTCATGCTTTTTTAGGTTAACTAAATCATTCAAGCAAATTGGTTGTTCAGTGACTTGGTCCAGAGGAATGCATGATCCCACATGCAGTGGGGAAAACCCCTTCCCACCTCTTCCTGGTCTCTTTACTTTAAACAAGTAAATGGGGTTCATTCTATTTGGATCTGGATGCGGGGGTTCATTCTATTTGGATCTGGATGCGGAGGTTCATTCTATTTGGATCTGGATTCCATGGGTTCACACATGCATTTTCCTACACCTTTAAGGCAGAGATCAGGAGTCTTGAGACACTCATTATTCTTCTTCTTATTTGTCTGTGTGTGTGTGTGTGTGTGTGGTGGTCCCTGGTAATTTGCAGCTTCAAACAAGCAGACATAAGCTCATTTCTAAGGGCTATCAAACCTTGAAGCTTTGGAGTTTGATGTCATTCCCCCCCAACCCCCCGCCTACCCAACCCCTTAACACAAAGATGATTTCAAACTCACTGGTCCTCCCGTCAAAGCTCGCGCAGCACGTAGTTCCTCCTCCGGACCTCGATCTTGAAAGGAGGCTCTATAAATCTCTGCAGTTTTAATGTTGACAGCTGTAAGGGATGACAGGCTTTGAATTGGCAGAAGACTACAATAAGAAATTTGCATAGCCTTACATTTCTACCACCATTCATAAAAGACAATATGGATAAAGTAAGTCTCCCTCAAAGAGAAGAATGGAAATCAAACAAGATTACTGAAAACAAAATTACTGGAGCTCCCCGCCCCTTCCAGGAGGAGAAAATGTGACCTTTCAGGTATCTCACTGAGAAGAGCTGAGGCCTGAGCTGGGCTGTTGTTAGGGAAGTCTTTGTGCAGAGCTGCTCCTCACACGGGCAGCTCACCCTTCCTGGTGCTCATTCTCTTCAAGCAGGTGTGGGCCAAGCCCTGTGACCCAATACGTTGTATATGGCTGGGGATTAAAAGGGTGGCCTGGATCGTGGCAAAGTCTACTGTTTTTGCTGTTCTTAATTTTTACTACTTGGTATTCCAGACATAGGCACTCTGGTGGCGTAGTGCCTAAGGGCATTTGACTGCTAACCAGAAGGCTGGCAGTTCAAACCCACTTGCCATTCCTTGGAAGGAAGGTTGGGCAATCTACTTCCGTAGTGATATCACCTCGGAAACCCAAGGAGGGGTCACTGTGAGTCAGGTTTGACTCCATGGCAGTGAGTTTTGAGTTTATTCCAGACATACACAGCATTAGAGGATAAAATAATGAATACGTAGGTACCCACCACTCAGCTAAATAACATGACCCCTGAGCAGGTGCAGCCTCAGGAGTCCTAGTGGCTGTCACAGGATGGTGGATGGTCGTAGGTGTTCTTTTAGCCTGATGGTTTTATACATTCCTTTTTAAGATCTTTGTTTTCAATCCAAATCTTAGTTAGTTCCCTGGGTATTAAAAGATTAAAACGTTCTGCCCTCTCTGCTTCCTGAGCACTGGCCAGAGAAACGCACACTTGGTTGGCCTCCAGAGGGGACGCAGAGGACCTGCTGACACCTGAAGTGGAAGTACGGTCTGTGCTTTATAGTTACTACCTTGTTTTCTCTTCTTGGCTTTAGCATGTAGACATTATTTTATACACAAAGGTTAGAGAAGTTAAGCCATGTACCCAAGGTCTCAGCAAATACAGAGAGGACCTAAGATTTGAACTTAAATCTGTAGCAGTGGGGTTCATGATTTTGCTAAATCACTTTCACCTGTGCCTGCCTTGTCACACTGTGTAACCAAGCCTCCAATCCCCAAATAAACACTTACCAATGCCATAAATTACTGGAAAATGGTTTTTATTTTCTTCCCGATCATTTAATTCTAACAAATAAGAAACAAAATTTTAGATACAGTTTTTAAGTAATAATTAAACAACTGTTTTCCTTTTGTATAACAAAGATCAAGAAAAAACCTCTACTGCAAAGGGAGAAAACAAGCAAAGTAAATGAGACTATGTGCTGGTCTCCCTGCTGGGTCTCAGGATAATGAGATTTATATTGTCAAACTGCCTCTTCCAGAATTAGTGCAAGCTGCTATGCATGGTGGTAACTCCACGTTGAGATCCAGTCCCTTCTGCTTCCCAGGAATAAAGGCGGCTTCTGAAAGTCCTAAGGAAGGAGAAAGGTAAGTTGCCCTTGAGGCAGGTCAGCAACTGAACTGAAGTTGAATAGGATTTGGACAGGCAGCTCATAGGGTAAGGCCATTCCAGTAGATGGGAAAAGCCCGCACAAAAGTCAGCAAAGCATCAATATATTGTGTCTGTTCCACCTCAGAGGTCCTGATGCCTGATCCTGCTTTAAGGGAGATGGCAAACATTCCTGAAACCTACTGCTTTGCTTTGGGAAAGGTGGTAGAATTTACCTGTCACACATAATGTCACTAAGTGAATGTCATCTTCTTGTCTGTCAAATTCACCTACAATAAGAAATTTAAAACTGATGTCAAAAAACTTCCTTTAATTAGCAGAACATACATTTAGTAAGTCAAGAGGAACAGAGGGACAAAGCTAGCTCAGTAATCTATCCTTTCAGCCACAGGCCTGGCCAAGCCCATATGCACTGACCTCAGAACCCTGACTGCCAGCCAAGTCATAGACACGTTCTTAGATTCAAAGCCAAAGGAAATGGGAAAGTTTCGGGGGATAAACAGATTCATTACAGAATTAAGATTCATTACCCTTTTCCTAAGTAAGATTTTTCTCCCCGATTGTAAGAGCTATAAAAAATTACTACACTACTACTACGCACTGTCGGAAGGAAGGCTGGGCAATCTACTTCCATAGTGATACTGCCAAGGAAACCCAAGGAGGGGTCGCTATGAGTCGGGTCCGACTTGATGGCAAATAACAACAACAACAACTACGCGCTGCCGAGTCGGATCCGACTCATAGCGACCCCTCCTTGGGTTTCTGTCACTGTAAAAAATTTGGGAAATACAGAAAAGTATGAAGAAGTAGGTTTTTAATGTTCACAATCCCAGCACAATTAAAATGCAGCGTATTTTCTTCTGTTTTTCTATGCACAGCTCCACTCACACCAGAGACAATTGTATATACACTCATACCATGTAGACAATTCAATTTCCTGATTTGTTTGTACATGTGCGTTTTCTAGTGTTACCTCTTCGAAAGTATTATTTTAATGACTATGTAACTATTCCCCTACTGATAGGGAGTATTAGTTTCCTATTATAAATAATACTCTACTGCTCATCTTTGAAGGAGCTCTAGTGGCACAGTGATTAAAGTATTTGGGTGTTAATCACAAGATTGGTGGTTTGAACTCACCAGCTGCCCTGTGGGAGAAAACTGGGGCAGTCTGCATCCACATAGATTTACAGCCTTGGAAACTCCATGGGGGCGGTTCAACTGTGTCCTATAGGGTTGCTATGAAGGGAGGTTGGGCAATCTACTGCCGTAGTGATACTGCTTCAGAAACCCAAGGGGGGGTTTCTTATGAGTTGGGTCCGACTCGACAGCACATAACAACAAATGAGTCAGAACTGACTCAATGGCAGTGGGATTTGGATGGCTCATCTTTGGGCATAAATATCTGTGCTCATACTTCTAGAACAGATTTCTAGAAGGGGAATTACTGGGTTAAAAGATATGAACCTTTTTAAGACCTAAACCACATTGCCAAATTACTTTCTTGACAAGTTACACCAACTGATACTCTGGCCCTGTGTGTTATGCCTGCTTCACTGCACTGTGGTTAACACTGAGCACTTTTTTTTTCCCCTCTTAGAAACTAGTTGCTAATTTAACAGGGAAAGAACGATATCAGTGTTCATTTCCTGTAGTAGATTCAAATGCACATTCCTGCTGGGAGGGTGGTTCGATTTTACATAATTCAGGGCATTTATTGTTTCAGCATGGATCACTTGCTAACTTAAAAGACATTCTTGTTCCATCCTCATGAGCCCCTAGAGATTTAGCTCTATGCCACTCAATCCTTATGTTAAGATTCTGAACTGAGCAGTCGTGTTTCTTACATTGCCTCAAGTAGGTATGCTCTTCTTAGTTTTGTATTAATTGGGATTTTTATCCAAGAAAAAATACGGGAACATTTTAATCAAATGTGAGAGGGAAAAGTGAACTTACTGAGAAGTTGATGAGTAAGTTTTTGTGACAATTGCCTGTCATCCCTGAAGCCGCCCACGAGGTGCACTTCCAGTCTGGCAAAGAGAGGGGATGCTGGTCAGACGCCAGCACAGCACATTGGCTGCACTTTGAATGCTGGTTCGCAGCTTCTGTCACCCTTGCTCTACAGCAGTGTCTCCCAGCTTTTCTCATGTTGTGGCCTACACAGAAAGGTCACTGTGGGGCACACAAGGCAAATGGGTGAAGATGCCAAGGCCAGAGACAAACTTCTGGGGACCCTACCCAGGTGCCATGGGTAGTTCTGTATCTTAGCACAAATGTGATGCCTCAATGCGGAGGGTGACACTCTTCTCTAGAATATGATTCTACCCCATTATGTACCCACCCAAAGCAGGATACCTCCAGAAGCCTCTTAAATGTCCCTGCCTAAGAGAGGCCCCAGGATTACAGGTGAGGAGAGACAACTCAGGGACGCCC